TTTACCTATTAATCTAACAGCACTAGAAAGAACTTTTAGTTATAAATATAGTGACTTTGTATGAATATCTATATGGTGTAACTTATTTGTTGAAAAATAATGTTGTAATATACGTGTATTGTGTATCATGAAAATAGTTCCAAAATTTCATCAACATAGAAAAATTCATTGTCATCAACAATAAAAAAATAATATTATCTATTTTTTTCGTTAATGTATTTATGCCCCCAGTGTAAGTTCGATCTAAATCAATTACCAATCGATTACGACTGCTGGCGGGTGACCGAAAATTCATAAGGAGGCGATGCAATATATTGATTACATGCTAGACCTAGAGACTAAGATAGAGCTTGTGAAGACTCTTATAACAATTTATATGATGGAAATATATATGATAAGATAGAACGTGCTTGATTGATTAAGAAACTTGCAAAGATCAAAGAAGAGCAAGGATTGATTGCTGAGGCAAATGATTTTTTTATGCAAGATATTTGGGTTATTTTCAAATGATTGTATTTTTTTTGTTACCACTTAATATTTCAGTAATCTTGATTACGTAGTTTTGATGTGGAATACAAAAATGCAAGCTTTATTTTGGCATATATTTTTTATGTCAATTTTCTCTATAATGTTTTTTTTTTTTTGGATAAAATTTGTAATGATTTGAATAAATAAGTATACTTGATTCTATCTCATGGTGTTGAAGCGATTTAAGGATTTGTCAGACTTGATTCCTGGCGTTAAAAAGTTGGATAAGATATCGATCATCAATGGAGCTAGCAATCAATATCTTGAAAGGATATGAAGACCAAATCAAGGCTCTACAAAAATAGCTTGACGAAGATAGGAGAAAAACGGAAGAGGATGAAGAATCGATTCAAGATGACGATCATGAGGAAAGACCAACTATTTGTTGTGATGATGATGATGATGTTGAGGTAGATTATCCCAAATTGAAAAAGAAGAAACTCCAGGATACTTCATTCTCTTGGCCTGAGTAAAAATAAATAAATAATAAAAATGAGTAGTTGATTGGCTAATGTGTCAAATTATTTAGGGATGCATCTTCTGGAGTTGAGGCGAAACTTTATCGGGTCTTTTCCCTAAAAAATTTAATTAAAACAAAGGTGGACAAATTTAAATTTTTCAGAATATTTGTGGACAGGAATATATCCCACGGATTTCCGAAATCCGAGTTATAATTAAAATTGAGAACTCGGATTTCCGAAATCCGAATCTACATTTAATAATAAAATAATAATTAAATAAATTTTGTTGAATAATATTTTTAAAAAAATCTTACATGAACAGTGCCGTTCGGATTTGCGTAATCCGAGTCACATTAAAAAATAATAAATTGAGGCGCAAAATATTTGAACTGAAATAAGGATTAAATAAACAGTAGTACTCGGATTTCCGAAATCCAAGTTCTCAAAAAGAAAAAATAAAATAAAATAAAATCAAGGCGCGAAATTTTTGAAATCAAAGAACTGGAATACCGTAATCCGGTTACATGTATTAGTGTTATATATTATTTGTATGTACTAGTATTATGTAGTACATTAATATTATTACTCATTATTATGTAGTACATTAATGCTAATACCTATCATTATTGGTACTAGTGTTACTTATTACTGTTAAATCTATTAGTTATTAGATATTATCATAAATTCAGTATAATTTATCTGTATTAGTGTTGTGTATTATTTATACGTACTAGTATTATGTAACACATTAATACTATTACTCATTATACATTACTGGTACTAGTGTTACTTATTACCGTTACATCTATTAGTTATTAGATATTATCATAAATTCAGTATAATTTATCTGTATTAGTGTTGTGTATTATTTATACGTACTAGTATTATGTAACACATTAATACTATTACCCATTATACATTACTAGTATTAGTGTTACTTATTACCGTTACATCTATTAGTTATTAGATATTATCATTAATTTAGTATAATTTATCTGTATTAGTGTTATGTACTAGTTGTACGTACTAGTATTATGTAATACATTAATACTATTATCCATTATACATTACTGGTACTAGTGTTACTTATTACTATTATATCTATTCTTTATTAGATATTATCATTAATTTAGTATAATTTATCTATATTAGTGTTATGTACTATTTGTATGTACTAGTATTATGTAATACATTAATCTATTATCCATTATACATTACTGGTACTAGTGTTACTTATTATTGTTAAATCCATTAGTTATTAGATATTATCATTAATTCAATATAATTCATCTGTATTAGTGTTATGTATTATTTGTACGTACTAGTATTATGTAGTACATTAATACTAATACTCATTATACATAAGTGGTATTACTGTTATTTATTATTATTAAATCTGTTAGTTATTAAATATTATCATTAATTCAGTTATAATCTATATGTACTACTGTTATGTACCTTTTAAGCAAATAATCGCATTTTCAGAATCTGAGTCAAGTAAAAAATTAAATTTTCAAAATAAGGCCATAGGGTTTAGGGTTTAACTTCGGATTTCCCAAATCCGAGTGTTACTTATACTTGGATTACCAAACTCCGAGTGTAACCTATAAACGGATTACCAAAATCCGAGTGTAACATATACTCGGATTTAGGGTTTAGGGTTTAGGTTCGGATTTCTAGAATCCGAGTTTATCAGGGAAACATGGAAGATTCGGATTTCGGAAATCCGATTCGTGTTCAAAAAATTACCAACACTTGTACAAAAAAAATTTTCCTCAAAAATTAATATTTTAATCATAAAGTCGGATTTCAGAAATCCGAATTATGATTAATTATGACAGATGAAAATTTTACTTAGTTTTAGTTTTAATTAAAATAAACTCGGATTTTCAAAATCCGTTTTCTATTAAATTCGGATTTCCGAAATCTGAGTTTACCCCGGATTCGGATTTTTGAAATCCGAAGGATATAGATTTGTCCACAAAAATTTCAAAAAAATTAATTTGGTCTACTTTTTTTAAAGAAAATTGTTTAGGTCAAAAACTCAAACTTTACCTAGAATACAATCTGCATTATTTTGAACATCGATCATTGGAACAGTGCCATGACTTTTTTTTTTTTTTTAAGTGATGTTGATAGTGCTATCAATGTTTCAGGAAATGAGAATATTAACAGTGATTTTTAAAAAAAAAAAAAAAAGAAAAGAAAAGAACAATAGTGTGTTTTTGAATATCGATATATTTATGGAGAAACAAACAAAAAATCATCTCATCAGAATGCCATATTATCAAATGAGAGTTGATTGCGAGGAAATTTTTGTGCTCCTTTAGTTATCAAGATCAAGAAATAGAATAATTCAAAGGATATCTGGGGAATAAAATAAGCAAACTAAAGCTAAAGAAGTGGAAAGTCAAGAATTAATGGAAAACACGAGAACAACATCTAAAAACAATAAAAAGAGCTTTGTTTAGGGCTTTTAGGCAAATTGAAGTTTCTGAATGCATTACTCTTGCTTCTTTGAAATATTTATCTGTTGTTCTTATTCTGTATATGGAGCACGCCTTAACGTTTCATGATTTGATCAGGTCCATGAAGATTTTGAAACTTGAGTATTTCATAATGACTTTCTTTTCACGTTTTGGAATGAGTGAAAAGAGTACTCCAGTTTGTATACAACAAATAGCTATCCTTGCACTAACGCATGACAAGGTCGATACCATGAATGAAGATCTACTAGACAAGTTACCAGGAGAAGACATTGTTGTATTTGAACTCTGATAATATTTGCCCATCAGAAAGTGAAAAGAATAGCGTGGACGAAATGTTTATTCCTGATTTCCTTAATAGTAGTATCAATTCTTATGGCTTGCCACTATATAAGTTGAAGATAAAAAAAGAGTACTCGAGTTTAATTTGTTACTGAGTAAGGTTGATCAGTTGTGTGGATTGTGTAATAGTACTATATTTCAAATTTTAAGGTTGGGACAATGCATCACCGAGGTAATAATTATCTCGGGCAGTCACTTCGTAGAAGACATATACATTCTTCACATGTATTTGTTCGCCCAAAACAAATACAAACAATTTTCAATAGTCATTTGTTTTGTGACGGCAATGAACAGGAGTCAGAGACAATTCCTTTCTCAAGGTATATGGACTGCCAAGTTTTGTTTTCAACCACGGACGGCTCTATCGAAATTTACATTAAGAAAATAATTTAAAAATTCAATATGCAGTGAAAACGGAGAAAGGAATAACAAGACAACCAATGTAGTATAAACAGAAGTACTGCAATTTACTTTTATTTTCAATCTCAACAATTTTTCTCAATAACTTTTCTGTCCCGTCCATTGGACAGGTTTTACACCTAGTAAAATTAATCGGATATTAAATTTCAACTTTATTACGTGTAGGATAAATCGAATAGAAGTAAAAAAAAAAATAAACACATGACTAATATTGAGACCTGAAACAGAGTATTAAAATTATAGGACTCTCACAAAACAAATCATACCCCAACAAATATGAGATACAAATTATCTTCTATTTATACCTTTTTAAAATTTGAATTAAGTTACGTGTTTACAATTTAAGATCGAATAGTAAATATGTCAAAACAAAAAACTACTCGGAAAAATTTATGGTGATCTAATTGAGCTTGGTTTTTCCAATTTTGTAATTCGGCTTCTATACATGCAACAAGTGCCCGAAATCCCTCATTCATTAATATATATGATTGAAAGAATATATTCAATCTTTCTTTTGAAAATATTTAATACTCAGTTGCAACGAATAAAAATAAAGTTACAAATTCCCAAACGCGTACGAATAATTCCACTAACTGTAATTGATTAACACCAATTGTTATTATTAACGCAAAACAAAATGGCCGTCCAACCGTGATATCCTCTATATAAACCATTAGCGTGAAGCATGTAGTACTTACGAAACATAATTTCAGAAGTGTAAGAAATATAGTAGTACTAATATTTTTTTTGTTGTGATCAAAAAATGATGATTCCGGTCATAACTCTCGCAGCTGAAACTACAAAACCAGGCACAAGTTCATGGTTTGCAACCAGCGAGAAAGTCAAAGCAACCATGGAATTAAGAGTATGGTTGTTTAGTGGCGATTCATGATCAGTTTACTTCAGAAGACTCTGCTTCAGTTTTCAAAGCGCTGAAAGATGCATTTGATCTTCCGGAGGAAGCCAAGAAGAAGAACGTTTATGATAGTCCTTTCTACGGGTACCGAGCCGGGCCGCTTATTGAAATGCTTGGGGTCTTTGATGCAACCCATGATGTTGAACCAATCCAAAGCTTCACAAACTTGATGTGGCCCTCTCGAAACCAGAGTTTCTGGTATGTGTATTTGAAATATATTAGTAACTTCTTTGGATTTGTTTTTTGAAATGAATCAATTTTGCAAATTTTTTTAATTAGACCAATAAAATACTACAAATATGCCAGCGTCATGGTCGGATCACGGCCCGCCGCCACGATTTGGCCGGCCGTGTAATAAAATTAGCGGTGTGGCAATGGTTGACTTAACCGACGGGGGATTCGCTTTGACCAAAAATATGTTCTGGAATAACTTTAACCATGAAGTGTTCGCATGTAAATGTGTTTTTACTGTTTTAATAATGGTTGATGATAAATTTTGTACATATTGTTTTTTTTTTTAAAAAAAAGGGTCAAATTTGGCATTATTCTACTTAATAATTACTTTACACATTTTTTAATTTCTAATAATTTCTATGTGATCAATGAAAATTTGGCATTATCCTCACCATTGACCTTCATATGGCTTTTTCAAAACAAATTAATACATATTTTAGGAGTCCATATGTAATTATGTATTTGGCATTATTCTACTTAATAATTACTTTACACATTTTTTAATTTCTAATAATTCCTATGTGATCAATGAAAATTTGGCATTATCCTCACCATTGACCTTCATATGGCTTTTTCAAAACAAATTAATACATATTTTAGGAGTCCATATGTAATTATGTATTTGGCATTATTCTACTTAATAATTACTTTACACATTTTTTAATTTCTAATAATTTCTATGTGATCAATGAAAATTTGGCATTATCCTCACCATTGACCTTCATATGGCTTTTCCAAAACAAATTAATTCATATTTTAGGAGTGTTTTGTTTACTCTTGGGTCTTCAATTCCTTTGTGTTTATCGAGCAGTGAAATAATGTATCATTTCGCCAAGAAATTCTCAGAACTAGATCGAATTGTGACCAGAATGATACATGAGAGTTATGGATTGGACAAATACTTTGATCGTGATTGTGGTATTGAATCATTTGCGCACTTGTTGAGAATGATCAATTATCGTGTGCCCTAATCAAGCGACGAGTCTAATATCGGTATTACCCCTCATATTGACAAGCAGCTAATAACAATACTTCACCAAAATCAAGTGAATGGACTTGAGGTCAAAACCAAGTATGGGAAGTGGATCAATCTTGACTTACCACCTTCTTCCCTTTTGGTTATGGCCGGCGATTCTCTATCAGTAAGTTAATTTTTCTTCTGATTCGTATGATACATATATGCGTAGTCTCTTTTGCATGTCCATTTATGGCAGATCAATCATTGAATCATTTTACGGCTCAAATTTTCTGTTATCATGTTTTTGTCAATGTATATCTTAGAACCTTTCAGAAAAAATTCTCTTGTATATTATACGTATCACCATATTTTATCATAACACACATTGATTATTTGAGTTGTTATCAGAGCATATTAAGGCTTTGTTTGATAATTATTGAAGTCTAAATCTGAACACTTAACACTTAACACTGAAGTCTGAAGACTGAATTTACATTGTTTCATAAAAAAAAGTCTCAATTTGATGTCTGAAGACTGAAAAATGAGTCTGAAAACTGAATCTGAATACTCAGGTCTGAAAGTTATTTAAAATTTTAATATCATTAAAATTGAATTATAAACAAAATTCTTTTAAATAGAAAAATAACAAATGTTTTGTTCTAAATAATAGAATCATAACTTTAAAATAAGTTTTTGGTGTATATGATGAAAGTAGATATTACACTTGGTAAATAATCAATATATAATTAAATTTAGATTATTACATATATATGTATACCTTGTTATTTAGCAAAATTCATGTATTAAAATTAGATTAATTTGAGTTTGAAAGTTTGAGATCTTTTATACTCATAATATAAATTCAACTTTAAGCACTCTTAATTAGTTCATCTTAAGAAAATAAAAATTTTAAAACAATGTAAAAATAAGCGTCGAAATAAAGATGAGGGAAAAAAAGAAAAAAAAAAGAAAAAAGAAAAAAAGAATCATTACAGAAATTAAGTGATAAGTGGTAGGTCTATCACTTATTTTCTGGCTCACAATTGAACTGGCCATTCAGACACACTTAATTAATTCAGACATTGAAATTTTAGTTATCAAACGCACTTACTTTATAAGTATTTAATTAGTTCAGAACTTAATTCATTAAGACATTTTAGTAACAATTATCAAACACACTTAATTTCATTAAATACTTAAATAAATTAAGTCACTATATTAACCTAAGTATCAAAGTAGGAATGTTCTAGATGGTTCTAGAGTAGACATTGACACATTTGGTTAGTTGAAAGTTGATTAAGCTTACTACTTTTGCTTTTTTTATTAATTGTTGGATTAGGGGTGGAGCAATGGTAGAATTAATATATGCCCCTGTTCATCAAGTTAAAACGAGAGGAGATGATGAAAGGTTTACTCTCAGCACATTTTCATTTCATAAGGGATTAATACAAGTTCCGGAAGAGCTGGTTGATGATGAACATCCAGTACAGTAAAAGCCGTTTAGTCCTATAAAATTGCTTGAATTTTTTCGCACTACAGAAGGTCGCCAAGCTGAGGATCTTCTCAAAGCTTATTGTGGTGTTCAAGGAAAGAAGATACTGCAGTCCTATTCGATCACTTATTAGTACTTTTATTCGACCCAATGTTGTCCTTGTTGCGAACAAAATAAGGTGGAGGTTGTGAAGTTACAATATGTCACTTATTAAATTTGAGTATTAATGCAGTTTTTGACCCAATACATAAATTATCTATGATTTTTTTAAAAGAAAAAACAAAAACAAGTCTACTACATCATATTCTTTTAAACATCTTTTTCTAGTAAAAAAAAAAAATTGGATGGTCCCGGTGAGAGTCAAACCCTCGACCTCCGGGTAAATATCATCCCCCATCCTAATTCCCTAACTACCCCACCCAACCCTCCCACCCTTTTTGATACATCAAACCAATCACAATAAGATAATAATAATATTTATTTTTTTTACATATTTGCAGGACTAAAGTTATGAATTTCTACCAACTCCTTCTGAAGTCATGAATTTCCTCCGAAACTATATATTATATGTTGGCACGGTATAAGGGGCGCATTGAATATTTTCTCTGATTTTAGAGGTTAAATACACTTTGACTAATGCAGTTTTTAGCCCGATATATAAATTTTATAGGGATGATTTCAGAGGTTATACACACTTTCATGTCCATTATATTATATGTTTTGTTCATTTCGTCATACTATTACGGTCAAGGGAGCAACCTTGACTTTAGATTTGTTGGGAGGAAAATATTCCAATTTAGTCCTGCACTTTGAGTCCAACTCCAATTCAGTCTCAATTTTTTTTTCTTTTTTGGAATTTTAATATTTTACTTATGAATAATGATATGTGCGAAGAAAATTTTGCAAGAAAAATTTTATAATGAATAATGCATCAATTATCAAAATCCTTTGATCTTAGCTAGGTTAAATCCCAAATGAAAAATATAAAAAAATAAATGGTTATGATCATTCCTTGTTATTATTTCTTATACCAATCATTATCCTTTAATTAATTCCTTTTTATGTTTTTATTTTTAATTTACATTGTACATCATTAATAATTAAAATCAATGCGAGCTGGAAAGGAACATTGAAAATTTCACCTGTTATATACAAAAGTATACACGAAAATTAGAGTTGATGTGAAAAACATTTTCTCATTAACTGAATCAATGTACAAGGTGCTTTAATTATATTCTAGGAGAGTGCAATCTGAATTTACAGTAAAATGACAAATATAAATACTCCCTCCGTTCCATAATTATTGTATAATTTAAGTTTTTATTTTTAATTTAAATTGTACTAAAAATAAAATTTCAAAATGAACAATAATTTTGGGACAAAGAAAGTATCATAATAGCGATGACACGAACTAGATACTGACATTCATGGGAAATGACAGGATAATCATCATTTAGTTAACTATACACAATTCCCAGCTTTGTTAAGTTACCCATCATCTGGTTAAGTTAAACAACCTCAAGTAACGGCACGACAGCTAGAGGCCGGTTTTTTTTGGTTCATTCATTAGCCTTGCTCCGAACCGAAGAAATAAAAATAAAAATATTTTCTCACCATGATTACAACTTTAAATGATCAATAACCTTGTACCTTGCCTACCACAGTACTTGATGGGTTGGATTAAATTCATTTAAGTGGGCTTTTAGTAACGTAGGTCCACTCTAAAATATTAGAATAAGTCCATTACAAAAGAAAACTTATTTGGGTTTAGTACAGAATCCAATGAAGATAGGTTCAGTATAGAGATAAAATAGGTCCGTTGCAGAGGTGAATTTGTAGTTATTATTCACATCTTTGTGAATATGCGGTTTGGCTAAGTCAATTGACAATACTACATTGATGTTATCACAATCTTTATCAACTATATTTCACGATTCACTCTTGGAAGATCTGATACTCCATGATTCAGTCTTGACAGCTCGAGATTCATCCTTGAACAGTACTCTCTTCTCCTATAAATACCATATTGTTAAATAATAAAGGGACTAACTTTGGCATCGGAGTTTCTACCCCGGTACTCGCCGGGGCTTTGCAGGTTTGAAGATCATGTGGTTTCAAGGATATTCAATTATCATTCTGGGTGAAGATCAAGTGGTTTCAAGGCTCTTCTATTATCCTCAAGGGTGAACAGAAGCTTGCTTCATTAAGTGGCGCCGTCTGTGGGAAACTCATTTGTGAGTTCCTATATGAATCCTTTGATTAAAGCTTCTAACGACCCTTGATGGCAATGATGATTACTAGATCTCAAACCTCTAAAACACCACCAATCATGATAATAGTCCTCCCAACAAAGGTATAGAAATAGATGAAGAGTTTTTGCTAGAGTTTGAAGAGTATTCTTTTGATGAAGAAACTCAATAAAGCACCTTGAACGAGGCAAGCTTGGCTGAAATGTATCAAACCACAAAGGTGACATTGATCGAACTTTGTACAAGGATGATGCTCAATACCACCACCTCCGCAAATGAAGGAGAACAAATTATGAAATGCCAGGCTAAGATACACCATTGCAATTTGAAGAAGAACTTCTGTCGACCTTCAATACTTCAAATGTTAGAAAAACTCCAAAAGAGTTTTTTTGGGCAAGTTTTTACAAAAGGCTTGGCTTTGGTGGACCAAATCAGTACTAGAAGAAAGCGTTAGACCTTTTAAATAAGTATGACCTTGTTTGAGACAAGGTTTTAGCAAACAAAGCCGTCCGCCGAGACCTTTCAAGAGTTTTTTAATTGAATAGGTGAAATTTTCCGTGCTTTTCGAGGCTTTTCCAAGGTTTTTCTAATGGAGACACTAATCGAAGTATCATATTTTATATTTTTTTTACACCCAAATAGAGTTGAGAATATCTTATATGCAAGACTTTTCTTATATATTTGGTGGATCAAATCAATACTAGAAGGAAGTCTTAGGCCTTTTAAACAACGGACGACCTTGTTTGATGCTAGGTTTTAGCAAAGAAATTAATCACCAAGACCTTTCAAGAGTTTTTAAATAGAAGAGATGAAACACGTTAAGCCTATGCAACACGATTCAACAACGAAAGTTTGCAAGTGAAACCACAAATGAAGAGCTTATCATAGCTGCTTTTATGAATTACTTGTATACTGAAGCTCTTTACGCCAAATTGGCCACTCACCGCCCTCTAACAACAATTCAAAACTTGATGACGAAAATTGCAAAAAGATGGGCCAAAGGTGAAAAAAAAAAAAGACAAGATGAGAAGGACAAAAACAACCAAAAGAGCATAAATCAAATGGGACATTTAAGTCTTGAAAAGTTTTCAAAAGGCAAAAGTGAATATATATATATATATCTATGCGCTCGATGGACTCCTTTGAATGAGTCTAGAATTGAGGTTTTGGCTTATACACAAGTTTTCAGGCCACCCTTGCCAAAGATCAGCCCTGCACACAGCTGACCCAAACACTTATGGTACTCATATCATAATAATTGTAGTCATGAAA